TGGCTGAAAGGACGAGCATGTTTGGTGTGACGGTGATTTGAACCCGCAACCATCAAATTGCGAGTCGAGTGCCATAACCACTGGCCATGCCAGGCCAATTAAACATATAAAGGTTTTACAGTGGAAAGTCGGAGTTGGTTTTCAAAGGCTAATTATATTTAAATAATCTACTGCCAGAAACGAAAATATGCAACTGAAAGAAAAGAAAATATTTACAGCCAAACTTTTAAACTTACCTCAGAATTTTCTAAACCAGTTGCACTTCCCTTGGTAAAACTTTCTACAATTGCTTTATTTTTAATCACATCTTCTTGTGTGAGATGTTCCCTTCTGAAAGTTTGTCCAAAATAAATAGACTGAATGAATCTTCACACACAGAAAAACATGTACCACAAAAAAAATTATTTTTCAAAATGACAGAACCCTAGCATATACAATAAAAGTTTTTAATCTAGAAAAATATTAAGATTAAGAAATTAGAATACATCATTACATCGTAAAGAAAGCACACACTATCAGATAATTAAAATGTGAGCTGTTTCTTAGCTCAAATTTTTTGATGCGCACGTGTGTGTGTGCAAAATAAATTACGATGTAAATGTATAAAGAAAAAGAATGTAAGGAACCAGTATGCTACTCATCCAAAACAAAAAAAAGCTTTAATACTATAGCAATTCCCTTGTGTTGGTTATCAATTTCATGATTTTCAATTAAAGCAAACATACGCATAATACTCAAACAAACAGTATACCCTTTAAATGTTCAAACATGTAAATCTACAACAAATATAACTACATTTCTTACCCATTTTTCTATTCTGATATCAGCAAAAATATTGATGATGCAAATAAAAATTCTTCATGTACATAAGGTGAACAGGTTTTTGAATTGTACATACTGCTACCATTACTCAACATGTTTTGAATCCACATCAGTGTAAAGTATTGTAAATACATCAATTTCACATTACCATGAAATGAAAAGATAAACACATGAAGCGTGTCGAACTTTTCCTCTACAACAGATCACTGTCATGGTTAGAAGCCTGACTGATCATATATATTTAATTATTAATTAACTAGATACTAATAAAACTATACAAAAACTAGTTGATAATTTAATAGTATCTAGTTGTCTAAAAAAAATTACAAATCAACTATTAAACTCAAGTGACAGTACAGGCTACTAACTACGAGTGAATGATATCCAATCACCACAACCTTAATAAGTACCCTTAACTGCTAACTCTAAGTTAATTTTGGTTGTTACTCTTTTTAAACTCCTTAATTTTGACCTAATGTGCTTTTAGTTGCAGTCCAATAGATTGTTATAAACCTTTAAAAGGTACATCAACATTACTGTCATAGTAGCAAATATTTTTTTGTAAAATACTTCAATAATAAATTGGGTTTCCAATCCCCATATCATACTTGTTTAATTACCCGAGTTATTTTCAACTATACTAACATTCATTTTAGTTAAAGACCATGGTTATCCATATCTAAGGCACAAAGAGTCTACTGGAGTTACAACAGGACATTTTAAGGTATATGATGGATGAAACGGCTGTGATTCCAGTTTCTTTGTCCACTTCTCTCATGACAACAAACTCTGATTTTAACTTAAAGTTGAAAGCTTGTGAGACTTTGGCAGCTTCCAAGAAATATCTTTGTTTGGTATTTGTTAGTGACACAAGGAGACACTAAATGTTTCATCAATTATTTGTGTGTGTGATTCAGAGAGGTGTCTTTTGTAATCACAGCATTACTTAATGTGGATTCAGAGCTCACTGCTGTACAAGATTTCCAATTCCATGGAGATCACTGAAGGCTTTCTACTTTGAAACATTGAATCTTTTGGCCAGAGGTTTACAGTTTGTAAAGTTGAACACACTATTACTGATCTTACTCGAATACAAAACTAAAGTGCACTTACATTTGAAGAAGTTTTTAAATAAATAAATAATTATTTTGAACGGAAAATGTAAATATATTTAAAGTAAAATAAATCTTAATTGATGTGCAATTATAAATGAATTAAAGGTGTAAAATGGTCTTAATGTGTTGTGTGTACTTTTCATAATCCAATTCAGCATTCCAGATATTATTTTATCTACTACTGTATCTAATCTAATACATGCCAAGTTGGTACAAAAACAACATTTATAACAAACAGCTGCCAAATAAGCTTGAAGGACATTTTAAATATCTTTTGTCCATATGCAGACAGTAAATTACATTGTCCACCCCTCCATTTTGACAGTAAATTACACTGTCCACCCCTCCCTTTTGACAGTATATTACAATGTCCACCCCTTCCTTTTGACAGTAAATTACAATGTCCACCCCTTCCTTTTGACAGTAAATTACAATGTCCACCCCTTCCTTTTGACAGTAAATTACACTGTCCACCCCTCCCTTTTGACAGTAAATTACACTGTCCACCCCTCCCTTTTGACAGTAAATTACACTGTCCATCCCTCTCTTTTGGTCATATATCACTTAAGTCTTATACTTTGGAAAGTTCCATTTATAAAAATTGGTCACACATTGTTCCAGTTTTAAAGTACTTTGCTGGCATTGCACTTTCAAACAACTGAGAATTTTCCAGTAACAAAACATGTACTAAGGATTGAGTATGTCACATTAAAACAATTCTGAATATACAAATCAGTAAGTAATGTGATAAACACACTTGATATAGGGTTACAGTGGAACACCATCTATTAGAATTACATTTTGACAATATTTGGAATTTTGCAGGTGGTGTAATGCCACCAAAAACTGATTACTTTTGGGAAGGGCATGTAAAGCCCCTTATGACACAAGTGTTCGTACACTCAGAATATAAGGATGTGTTCATATTGGGGATTTTGAGTTTCCTTGTACTTAATGGAATTGGAAAACAAAGGCATAAGGTTCATCTTGGGGAACTAGGACTATCCACAAAGAGACAGTTACAAGTTGTATCCCAACCATAGTAAGTAAAGTGTGGCATCTTATAACAGATGAGAATTCACAAAGTTCAGTCAAAAAAGCCATCCGCATGTCCTAGGCAACAATACATACATAACCATGAAGTTTCTCAATCTCAAAAAGCAGCAAGGTCTCATGTACACTGTTGCTTCCAGGGCATATCCATTCAATTGTCACATACCTCAAGCAATCGGAGAACAAAACTGTTATTCCATTTGAAAACACCAGCTGGAGTACCAGTCCAATGGACAGGTGAAATAAAAACTCGTTTGTAACAAAGGTTAGGAAATTGTGCTTCTATTTTTTCTTAACATAATAAACATTAAAAGTGCCAAAAAAAAATACATAAAGGTACCAACACTGAAAAGAAAGACATACTGTCTTCAAGAATCCTATCAATATGAATTTAGATGGGGGTTCCAACCCCACCCCCCCCCTCATGACCTCCACCGTGTCATCCTGTATCACTGTGTCACATTGCGCTAATTTGATAGTTTTTCCAAAATTAAATAGGGGGGATCCAAATACAAAGTAAAACATGTTACATTCAACCATTTTTAATTCCTGTAACAATGATTCTTTCTTGTAACTACTCACAATGAGCTTTTCTGTAACTACATTATTAGTCTGTTTTTCTGTGAGTAAAACTAACATATGAAATACTTGTATCTCTGTATGTGAGGTATTAACTATGGAGTTAGCATACAGCACCGATAAAATTCAACAAACAGTACAACTAAGCACAATTCAGACATCTAGCAAAAAGACTGAAAATACAGTTTTCTACAGCAATGTAATCATTTTAATACACATATAAAATAAAAGTTCCTAGCCTAGTTTTATTCTCATTAGATTGTTTTAAATTCTCAAACACAGATCTTACCTTTTCCTAGATTCTAAGACGAGCCCATTAATGAAGTAAAAATCTGCTAGAAAAGGTCCTACCATCTCCTAAGATGTAAAAAAATGATATATATACACACACACACATATACATACAATCAGAGTAACAAAAAACATTTAACTCATAAAGGTCTGCAGTTTCAAACAAGTCACAAAAATACTTTATATAATGTAAGCCTAATTGTTTTTCCCATTTTCACACTTTTTAAAATTATTATATATATAACACTAGCTTTAGAGAAGTATAACACTGTTGTTGTTGGTTCAATTCAAAGCTGCACAATGGACTAACTGTGCTCTGTACATCATCAGGTATCAAACATGGATTTTAGCATATAAATCTATATACTTACAACTGACCCACAAGAGGACTAGTATAACATTACAGGCCTGAAATATTAGTTTAAATCTAATAAAATATTCTGTAATTTTAAAATGGAAGCTGTATGTTATGTTGATAAAAATGGATCTTTTGACATTTAGTATAACTCTTATGAAAAAGTCAAGAAAATAAGTTCCTTCTTCACTACACAGGACATATTTTGATATCAGTAAGATCACCAAATCCCAGCTTACAAGTAAAGAAAACAACGAAAATATGTCCTGTATAATGAAGAAGGAACTTATTGTTTTCTTGTAAGCTGTAATTTGGTGATCTTACTGATATCCATATATGTCTTCTGTTGTGAAGAAGGATCTTGTTGTTTTCTTTACTTGTAAGCTGGAATTTGGTGATCTTACTGATATCAAAATATGTCCTGTGTAGTAAAGAAGGAACTTGTTGTTTTCTTGTAAGCTGGAATTTGGTGATCTTACTGATATCCATATATGTCTTCTGTTGTGAAGAAGGAACTTATTGTTTTCTTGTAAGCTGGGATTTGGTGATCTTACTGATATCCATATATGTCTTCTGTTGTGAAGAAGGATCTTGTTGTTTTCTTTACTTGTAAGCTGGAATTTGGTGATCTTACTGATATAAATCCCAGCTTACAAGAAAACAATAAGTTCCTTCTTCATTACACAGGACATATTTTCATATCAGTAAGATCACCAAATCCCAGCTTACAAACTGTAAAACATATACGTTTTGTGCAAAATTACAAAGTATTATTTTTTAATGTGAAAATTTTAGTTTGTTTCAAATTTTACACACTTGGTCAATAAATAATAAACAGAAATGACCTAAATCACCCACAAAAAAAAATTCTAAAAAAGTGACTGAAACTAAATGGTATTTTCTGTTTAAGTCACACACGAAGCAAGTTATCAACAGATACTTCTGTAGTTATCACAATTCATACAGAAATGTCCTATAATGTTATTCTGCATGAACCACATGTTCTCTTTAGGGTTTTGTATAATTTAACCATTTTGTTGAAACAAGAAATAACCCACGTTCTTTAAGTTTAACTTGATATTATGAAATGTACAGGCAAAACATTTTTTTTTTGTTTCAGATTTTATAATGGATTAATACTTGATGAATCAAAGTTTTATCACTGATTTGAATCATCATTTGTTTTTAAGTTGTCGGTAATCATGATGTATCTGTTCAACACATAATCTTGTGCAAACGTCACCAGGATGAAGATATGATAAACACCTCAAATAAAACGTATTTCCATCAATAAGCAGCCATGGCTGAAGATGTAATACACACATCAAATAAAACGTTTTTCCATCAATAATCAACCAGACTGAAGATGTAATACACACCTCAAATAAAATATTTTTCCATCAATTATCAACCAGACTAAAGATGTAATACACACCTCAAATAAAATATTTTTCCATCAATAATCACCCATGGCTGAAGATGTAATACACTTAATGGGGATTCATACACACCTCAAATAAAATATATTTCCATCAATAATCCACCAGGATGAAGATGTAATACACATTTCAGAAAAATATTTTTTCTTTTGATACAAAATACTTATAGCAGGAAATGGTGATATTTGTACAAGAAAACCATACTTCTCCATTTTGTAGGGAGTTAGTGTTTTTAAAATCAGCCTAATAATGTGTAACGAACTTCTTATGTATTTATTTCAATATCAACACTTGTTTAGATTAAATTTATATTTAAAACATACATAGCTTATACTGTTAAATATGTATTGCCAAACTCCCGCCTATTCTCCAAAGTTGTAGAAGATTCTCGAGAGTAAGAATCAACAATGTCTGGATGTGTGTACGTAAACGCTTTAACTAGCATTATTATGTAAGACTGAATTTTCTAGAAAACCTTCCCACGCCTATAAATACAACCAATGCGATGTGCCAAAAGGAGAGTATCTATTATTAGTTTGCTATAATCAGTGTCCTATAAACTTCGAAAGCTATAACTGTGATTTTTATAACGCTTATCAATCGAGAAAACTTCAGATATTTGACCAGGAACCTTCACAAAATTCAAACATTACAAATTATTTAACTTCAGTAGATTCTCATCAGACATTAGTATTTTTATGAAAACATTACTTAACTTCAACGGTGGAAAACCTAGCGTGTGTGGCTAAGGACAACTCGCAACTAACTCGCTCATCATAAACCCTCAATAAGATATCAAGGGAGTTCCAAACTAGAAAGAATATTTTATATTGTTTGTAAGTTTGTGAAACATTTGTTTATAAATCTTTGTTTGTAATAACTATTTTTAATAACTGTTATTGTAAATTGTACTGTTGTGTGTATATTAAAACGTATTTGTGTTAAAAACGAAAACAGGTGTATCAATCTTGTTGGCAAATATCATAAATTGACTAATATATCGGCATATATTTAAATACTAAATCCAAAGTACAATTTAACTACCAAATTTAAATTATCAGTTTACTCGGCTTCGGACTATATGAAATTCTAATACGTAAACAAAAACAACATATTATTACACATACATACAGAAACTGAACATGATTACTGTCTTTAGCTTTAGACTGTTGTATAGACATGGCAATAACAAATCCTTACTGTTAAAAGTTATATGTAAAATCTTCAATCAATAAGGTCATGTAAACTTAACTTAAAATTCTAACTTGTCCCAAAAAACTGTGTATTTATAGCAACAGTACATGAAATTCTAACTTGTCTCAAACAATTGTGTGTATTTAATAGCAACAGTACACAAAATTCTAACTTGTCCCAAAACCTGTGTATTTATAGCAACAGCACATGAAATTCTAGCTTGTCCCAAAAAAACTGTGTGTATTTAATAGCAACAGCACATGAAATTCTAGCTTGTCCTAAAAAACTGTGTATTTATAGCAACAGCACATGAAATTCCAGCTTGTCCCAAAAACCTGTGTATTTATAGCAACAGCACATGAAATTCCAGCTTGTCCCAAAAACCTGTGTATTTAATAGCAACAGTACATGAAATTCTAGCTTGTCCCAAAAAACTGTGTATTTATAGCAACAGCACATGAAATTCTAGCTTGTCACAAAAAACTGTGTATTTATAGCAACAGTACATGAAATTCTAGCTTGTCACAAAAAACTGTGTACTTATAGCAACAGTACATGAAATTCTAACTTGTCCCAAAGAACTTTGTGTATCTAATAGCAACAGTACATGAAATTCTAACTTGTCCCAATGGGAAAATACATTCACTAGTATTGCAGTTTAATAGTATTTTTTAACAAATGAAGATATGATCATCACCCAGTACATACACAACAGGACAAGGATGTGTGCAAATAACTAATTATTATCACTACAAAACATAAAAAATTAGAACACATACTAAATAATATGGATTTATTATCTCAAATATAAGTTAACATTTTATATTATAAATAAACATTACACCAACATGTTTGAATCAGAACATCATTCTATCTGAACGAGCTCCATTTTTGCAAGATAAAGTAGTTAAAATACTTCTCTTGATAATGTTATATTACACGCTACTATGTGAACTTACTGTTCGATCTCCTCTAAAGATCCAGCCAGTCTGTGCCCTACTGAAGGTGATAGATTTTGTAGACATCTGAACACTGACTATGTCGCTACTCATCAATAAATCAATTTCATCTTCTATTTCAGCTTCAGTTTCCTGATTATCAGTGCATGAAAAATTAATCAATTACAAAATATTTTGAAGCAAGACCATCTTGTAATTTTTTAATACTCAGTTTTGGAACTGTAAATACATAATCAAATGGACAGTAAAAATAAAATAAGTTTACTTTTATGAAATAATTTAATTCAAAACTATATTTATAAAACTGATTAAAAATATGGGAATAGTCATATAAAATATTAACCTGGTGAAATTTCAGGTTCATACAACACTAGATGAATTACATCTGATAGCACTGATGAAACCTAGTTGAATGGACAACAACTGCCTGTTGTAGAAACACAAGTGTAGAGGACAATGTTTCAAAAGTCTTCTGCCTTTCCTCTTCTGGACCCGAAGATGAAAGGTGTAAGACTTTCGAAACATCGTCCTCTACACTCGTGTTTCTAAAACAAGCAGTTGTTGTCCATTCAACTAGGTTTCATCTATCAAAGAATATCTGGTAGGATTCCTGGTTCATACAACACGTTAACTAGATCTGTTGGGATTCCTGGTTCATACAACACTTTAATTAGATCTGTTGGGATTTCTGGTTCATACAACACGTTAACTAGATCTGTTGGGATTTCTGGTTCATACAACACTTTAATTAGATCTGGTGGGATTTCTGGTTCATACAACACTTTAATTAGATCTGTTGGGATTTCTGGTTCATACAACACTTTAATTAGATCTGGTGGGATTTCTGGTTCATACAACACCTGAACTCTCTCACTATGGGCTCAATTGATTCGAACAATAAGTTGACCGCAAACTGACCTTTATAGTTTCCTTACTATACTTCTAATATATTTTCTTAAATTTTGCAAGCTTTTAGCAAGCATTAAGAGTCCCTTATAGACAAGAAATCAGAATTTTTAATGAGGTTTTTTTCACTAAAACTTTCTCCATTAATATATGGAGCCAAAGTGTTGACTGATCCAAGTGCAAAGTGATTTTCCTGTTAAGATGGAAAATATTTTTCTTCCTCTGAAAAATCTCAAATTCCATTTACATAATATCTAAAATCTCCTGAATTCATTTAAAATATTTTTTCTACCCTAATTCTATACAAGAGTAGTCATCTTGACTAACCTCATAACAACCTTAAAAAAATACCAAATTAATCTAAATTACCCTTTTTTTCTTTCTAGAATGACTTAAAATTGTATCATGAAACTACATTTGTTTATCTTAAAGTTTTAAACTTGTAACAGTATACAACTATTTATACTTAAAGTTATATTGTCTAACTAATATTCCCACCAAAGAAGTGGTAAATCACTTGGTGAGCATTACCCTATTGAATTACATAATGCATGGGCTACTCACGAGTTGCTCATGAGCAAATCTTATGATAAATTATTATCATTTATTCTATCTAATCTATTCATATCTAAATAAAATGTTTCTAGATTTTACATTTGGGTTACTTTTATAATAATAAATAAAGAACACACATGAAAAATAAGAAATATAGTACTTACCTGGGTCTTTTTTTTATTATTATTATTATTATCGACTCTTGATGAAACTTAACCCAACTTTTCTATACTAATAGTACTACTGCACTAAATGTTTCATTTTATCAAACAATGCACAAAAAAACACAGAAAAATCACATGCAAAAGCAGACAATGTCCCATGATTTTTCTGGTTTTCTAACTATGCAATAAGAGAGCAGTTAAAAATTCAGCTAAGCTCATCAATGCATTTCCCATTTCCTGTCGAAATAAAGTTTAAAGTTTGAACTGGAAAACAATGTAAAATAATATGTCATTAGATAAATTAAAACTCTGGTTTTCAATTGGTTATTAGTAATATAGTATTAAGCATTAAGAGAGAGAACTATTGGCAATTTTTTAAAGAGACAATGTGAAAAGTGGGCGTAGCAAGAGGGACCTCATTTTCTATTTTATGACTCTGTAACCAAATAAGATTGAAGGTTATAAAAATTATGCTTTGCCTGAGTGATGACAACATTATAATGAATAATTTACCCTAAATTTTGTACTTCTTGAAGAGGTGGTAAATAAATTAGAGAAGAGGCCATACCCAGAGAGTAAATGTCACAATTCTCATACTAGGTGAAATTGAGTATTAAATTCGGGTTATTAGATACATTTTTATGCCAAATGTATTTGTATACCATGGTTAGAAAATAGTTTAATTAAATTTTTAATGTAACTCATAAAACCTCGTGACATGCATAGAAAAGGATGCCCATAGCAACAGGGTTAAATTAATTATATCTGGTAAGGTTTTTGGTTCATACAGCACTTTAAATAAATTACTTCTGGGGGGATTCCTGTTTCATACAACACTAGATCAATTATATCTGATGTGATTACGGGTTCATAAAACAATTCACTTGAATCATATTTGGTGGGAGATTACTGGTTTTGATAAGAAGTGCAATTTCAATTTTACATATAAAACAAAGGTTTTCAAGATATCTGAGGTGTAAGGCTGTTGAAGGTTTAAGTCTTACCTCATAGCGAACCTTCTGATAAACTTTCTGCTCATTATCTAGAACTGTAAGTGATTGTGATGGTTTAGCATTTCCACTAAATATAAAACTCACATCCCCTCTTTCCCACCTCATGTCATTGAAATCTACTAGTGTTGTGTCTAATCTGAAAAAAAAACAAAAAACATTCTACAAACGACAGTCTGCAAAATGTGTCCTCGCCAAAAGTAGTTACATATTTTAAAATTTAATGTAAGCCAACACACTATAATTCAAATGAAATACATCCATGCAAATAGAAGAGTGATTAATAACTTAAAAGTGCTTTGATTTTCTTATGCATGTGCCAAATGGCATCAAATCCAACATTTCTATAAACATCCAAAATGAAAACTAAAACCTCAACTTGGATACCGTGTTCATAAGTCATGCAAGTCTTACATAACAAATTACAAATATTTTATTTTACACTACACTAAAAAAACATCAATTCACTTTGGAATGTGGACAGTATTTGTTCACAAAGATAGAACTAAATCAGTCCTAATAATCTATTGCATGTTAAGGGAAGTATTTTTAGGAAAATAAACAATTACTGCTGACTTTTGGTTCTACTGCTTAACTAAAAGACATGTTTAATAGAATGCAGCCCAATAACTGAAGAGCCAACTGTGTAGTAAACTCCTTCTAAGAGTAACAATACTTTTTTGTAAACTAAGCCATTAAAATTTACTGTCCAACTAGTATTACGTTAAACCAACATTCAGATATATTAGAAAATGAGACTTGCCTTTCAGTGTGATAACTGTTTAGTGATTTTTCTTTTCTTCTATTGAAAGTCTGGAAATCTATTTTACCCATAGGGTAAATACATTTGAAGAAAGTTAAACTACACAGCAACAGCTGTAACTAACTTGACAATATCATTCAATTATTCTTAGAAGTTATAATTTTCCTACACTGAAAATGTATTTCCAATAGCTTCATATATCCACTCACATAATAGCTTTTCTCATTCAGTAGTGCCCTATATATGTACAATTTTCGCTCGCCACTAGCCTTGATATTCCCATCTACTCCATGTGTTTACACATGGTACAGCTCTGCTGTAGCATGCAACAACCCTTCACCAATAGGAATGTAACACCCTCCTGGTGCAACTGGCTCCTTTTATACTGTAGAGCACAAGCTTCATTTTGCGAAAAGGCACAAACAAAGCACCAGAAGTGGGGATAACAGTGTAAGCATAAGTAAATATGTATCAGAAATGCATTTTCAGTGTAGGAAAATTATAACTTTCAATACAATACCTTACCTCCACTTACATAATACCTAGAATCCCACATTGAACTGGTGGAGGGACCAGTGCAAATGTTACCTAGATGAGTACTCTTTGTTAAATACATCCAGAAGCAGGTTACCCCACTAGGGGAACAACCACTGAAACACCTGGGGATCTTAGAATCACTCCATGGATAGAAGCTTTTCGGGACAAGACAATCAATCCAGAACAAGATTTAGAGCACCTGTGACAAGACATGCCAGAAAAGTTCCAATGTTTGAAAAACAAAGCAAACATAAATTGGTGCCCCATTGATGATTGATGTAAGAGACAACGGTTGAATTTTAGAAATGGATTATGACCAACTAGCCCCGTACTAAAGGTAGGAAATGATCCAAAGCCCGACAAAGAGCAAGCAGCTCCAGAAGAATGATGTTTAGACCCAATTCAATCAAAAACCAAAGACCTGCAAACTCCCACAAATCCATAAATGCCTCAAACTTGTCAGAGAAGTGTCTGTAAAAAAGATTCAACTCAGAATAGGGAGGCAGAAGAGGAATGCCAGCCATGATATTATCCTCGTTGAACCACCATGCTAGATCGACATATAATGAGGGAGAGAGAAGGATAACTGAGCCCAAGGGATCCCAAGCAAGATTCCACTGATTGGACACCGCCAACTGAAAAACTCTTATGTGAACATGACCCAAGGAAATGAGGGCTTCCATGGAAGCCCAAGTCCCCAAAAGAGATAGAGCCTCACAAGCAGTGAGAGGAGAGGACTGAACTTTGAGTACCAAAGTGCTCAACTGATCTCAACTGGAAAGAAGAAGGTTGGGCCTTACTGAGATAGAAGTAGAAGAACACTTTCAAAGGAATGAGGTAATAGGTTGGAATGAGAAATGACTTCTCCATCTTGACCAACCAACCAACAAAAGCAGCCTCTTGAAGAAGTTAAGTGGGTGTAAGTGTAAGATGTTTGTAATGACGAGGCTAAAAGCAGGCAGTTGTCCATGTAATGGTGAAACCTTAGACTGTGATGAAGAAGATGGGCAAAGGCCCTGACAATCCAACAAAATATATAGGGTGCAGAATTCAACCCAAATGGTAGTGTGTGGAATTGATATACTCAACCTAAGTGGAGAAAACCAAGGCAACGCGAGGAAGCTGGGGAAATATGGATATGAAGGTATGTATCTGAGACGCCTAAAGGTGACATCCAAAAATCAAGAGTAAACACCCACTGAGGAGTGAGGAAAGTGGAGCCCAAAGCCACAGAAACTGCAAATTGTGTTCAGTGGTAATAATAACAACAGTAGATGTTGTAACATGAATTGTGAATTCATAATTGAGTGAGAAATTTATAATCAAACCACAAATTATAAAGAAAATGTAGAGAAAAAACAGTGAGGCAAACACGAGCGAAAACAAGAGATAGCTGTATAATAGTATGCCAAATCAAGAAGTGGAGATTGGGCTCTACAGTATAGAGGGAGTTAGCTCCACCACGAGAGTGTGTCACACTCCTATTGGTGGAGGGTTGTTGCATGATTATTTCCATGCTACAGCACAGCTATACCATGTGTAAAGTAGGGTTAGGTGGGAGTATCAAGACTACTGGCAGCTGTACCATGTGTAAAGTAGAGTTAGGTGGGAGTACCAAGACTACTGGCAGCTGTACCAGGTGTAAAGTAGGGTTAGGTGGGAGTATCAATACTACTGCCAGCTGTACCATGTGCACAGTAGGGTTAGGTGGGAGTATCAAGACTACTGGCAAATAAAGTAGCATTGAACAAGTAAAGCTATTACGTGAGAAAAGACAAGGTATCATAAGGAGTATAACAGGCAAGGTATCATGAGGAGTATATGATTTTTTTATCAATTTCACCACAGTATGCAAAGTTGTACAAGAGCTCTCTGTGCATAGCAATACCTGATTTTTGAAATGACAGACTAGAGAAGGCAACCTGACTACAGAGCCAACTCTTGGGCTATTCTTATCCAAATGAACAGTGGGATTTGACTGTCACTTTTACAATGTACCCATGGCTCCAAAGTGCAAAGTGCATTTTTGCAGCAATCCACTACAAAGAATGAACATTTGGATACACAGTCCAAATATGCTAACCACTAAACTAGACCTTCTCCAACGGTTTTACTAGCACAGACAGCACCGATTCGTTTGTTTGGGTATGCTATTCTGTTACATAAAATCCATAATATCTATGGGTTGGTGAGAATAATGCTCTGTACAGGAAACTTTATTTAGGGAGGCTGTTTGTGTGTCCATGACAGGTGTTCAAAGGTGATTGCTCCTTCACCCACTTGGGGATGCTAAGCCTTCCCAAATCTCTTATACACACTGCACCTGTTTACAAGGTTACTTCATTTGAGTTTGCTTATAGTACTTAGTATTTCAGCTAAAGTGTACTGAAGAACAGTATATTCTTTAAACAAATGTTTTTCTCACAATATAAAAAACTGTTCACTAAAATTATTTTTAAGAAAGAGCACAGTAGTTCTATAAAAGCTTACTTATAGCTAAATATTATTTTAAAGTGGAAACATTAAATGTAACACTGTATAACTCTTACTATAATTTCTACTACTAATTATAGCTCACAATGGTACGACAACATTTTAAAAATCCTTGTGGTATTTTCCAAAAGTAGTTTTCTTGTTTTTTATACTATCTAGTATTTGTTTTATTCTTGAAATAACTTTAAGACAAAAAAGATTTCACATTATTCAAGAACAACTTTCATAATTACCTGATACTGGAGCCTTTCTTTCTTATCCTACAGATATCTGATGGTAATAGCCGTGATACTAGTGGAACTAAAACAAAATTATTGTCTATTATTTCACCTTATTTTCATTTTAAAGATCATAGAAGGTGAAAAGTTGAATGTTCATATTTATCTCATAAGGTTTTTAATCTCTGAATTCATAGAAAAATTAAATTTACAGTATTCAAGGACAGTATAAAAGATTATTATTATCAGTTAGTTTACTAATTACAATATAATAGTCTTCTATTAAATCTATATATAAATTAAAAACACCCACTTTTTTACAAGAATAATTACAAATCTAGTTTAAGAACATTACACAAAATACATGCAACTATAGCTTTACCTCATATCTATATACATGTTTTACTTTTTTGGCTTCTTTTTTAGATGGCACAACTGTTTTTCATACACCAAAATCTCACTTACAATTCACAACAATGTAGGACCACATCTTTGAAGGTTTCCTGTTATTGTCAGCTAAAATGTCGTCTTCTCTGTATTACATAAATTCTCTGTCAAAGAAGCTGAAATAGGCAAACCTACTGAGTATTTCTCGGTGGCAAGTTTAAGCTCTATATTCAGTCTCTCTTAACTTTTTCCATATAGAGTCAGTCAATGTTATTGATTTCAGGGATGGAGGAAGCAATTTTGTATTGGTCAGGTAACTTAAAATAGTGTGCAAAGCATGCCACCCCCGTGAAAATATTGAAAAATAGGTGCTCTAACATTGTATTTTATGCTAATTTTACTATAATTTATTGAAAGTATTAATCATTTGCAAGCACTTCTTGCTCACTGACACTTATACTCACCATAGCTATAAGCAAGCACAAGCATGTACACTTGTATATTACACATGTAATGTATTATGTATTGTTATACTGATTCATACATACTACTATAAGTCTGTCTGTTTACCTAGACACAATTTTTGAAGTTAAAGTTAAAGTTTAAAAAGCCCCTACAGTTACTGTGACAAATGCTGGTCCGAGTACTGCCAGAGCTGCTCCAGTGCACTTGGACCTTGTGACCATCAGTTTCATACTATAACTTCTAATATGTTTTGTGTATCTTCACAAAATTTGGCAAGCTTTCAATACATATTACAAGTCTTTTGTACACAAAATAATCAATTTTTTAAATTAAGTATCTTTACCAAAGATTTGCTCGTGAATATATGGAGTCTGAGTGTAAGGTGATTTTAAGATTAAAAAAATACTTTTCTTCATCTGAAAATTTTCAAAAACCTCCTAAATAAATACCAAACATTTTTGTTTTTTTAAAGTTAAAATTTATACTTGATCTGTTATTTTCTCTACCCTAACTCTATACGGTCTCAATAAATTTGATCAACCTTGTAAACACTATTAAAAATATGAAATAAATCTAAATTACCCATATTTTTCTTTCTAAAATGACTGCAGATTGTAACAGAAACTAACAATTGTTTATCCTAAATTGCTTAAGGCTCATAACAATCTACATTTGTTTATATTTAATTTTATTGTTTTATTGCCCCTTGAACTGTATCTGACTAATAATCCCACCACACAAGTTGCAAATCACTTGGCAAACACATAGCTCACATCACCTTATTGAATCACATAACATACGAGCTGCTCGTCAGCATACCCCATGAAGAATTTTTATTATTACTTTTCATTATCTTACCTAACAAGTTCCTAATTTTTACATTTTAGTTATTTTTATAGCCATAAATAACGAGTATACATGCAAAACAAAAATTATATAGTACTTACCTTTGACCTCTTGCTTTTTTGCTGTCAGTTGCCAATAAAACTTCAGCCTTTTTTTTTAATATAGTGAAGGTACTAGTACACTAAATTTATTTATTTAACCTGATAACCACCAGCTACCAACTTTCTGCATAGCCAATGCAAGTCTTGTTATATTTTGTTCCAACAATAAAATTAGTGGATGAAATTGTTTGAAACTTCATAAGATCTTTCATAAATGCACATAGTTTAAGAAACATAAAGCCTGTTACTTTTGATAAATTTAGTTTTTTTGCATTATGATCTTTAATTTCTTGAAAAATTACATTAGGAAATGGTATTTATAAGAAATGATTACGATATTTATATTTGTTCCAGATTTGAACTTATTACTTTTTATGTTTCAGTACATTATTTTAAAATCTCTAAAAATTTTTTATCATTCATAAAATGCTAATTTTGTCTATTTTTAATTGTTTTAATAATAACGAACTCTCCTTATGGTTTTAAGTAATATACAAGACCCAAAAATAATATTTCTAAGTAAATCTAAACAATAAACAATTATTTTTATTTTTAACTAGGATTTCATGTTTATATATGTACATAAAAAGCATTTTAATTTTGTTTCATCTATGTATTTTTATTTCAAGTTTGTTTCATTGTAGCCATACTTTTGTTTATTGTGGCAAAAAAATCGTGAGGTTAGCAGCGTGAACTTCGTACATTTGCCGTAAACTATAATGCCTGTTGGTGGTCACTCTCATTCAGTCCACCACAGGCACATTTGAGCATTACTGTAGATATGATAGTAAGAAAGCTTTTTGGTAC